AGGCCTAAGTTGCACCTTAGAGCACAATGGTTAGGTTCAGCACATAAGGTGAAAATTGTCAGTTTCCCTTGAAAATCCCTTAGGAAGGCTCCACGATGAAGGCCAGCAGTTGCTCAGTCCAACAGAATGTCAGCCCAGTGCACCTGGATTTTACTCTCTTCACCAGGTGAAGTCATTGGTATATGTTAAAGAGCCATAATTTTATTTTTTTTTCATAATTTTATTTTTTAAACTATGTCAGCTCCAAACATCAGAATTACACTTGGGTAGCAAGTTACACACACTGAGGGAGACATACAGGAACTGCCTGGGGAAAGCAGATCTCATGCTGTCACACACACTCCAAGGAATGGGTTCTTAGAGCAGAATCACACAGACTAATCAATCCATATCTCCCTCTCTCTGTCTCTCTCTCATAGCCAAACAGAACTTATATGAACTCATGCCTTTCTTTGTAATGCAACCTCATTTTATCTTGGGCCCAGTAAAGGGGGATTTGAAAGGATTAGATCACTTAGAGCATTTGGGGATGTGAGGCTGCTACTAAATTAATAAAGGCGATGCAGCACCCAGAGCTCACTTGTGTGGCATCTGAACATGACTAACTTCACCAGAAGAATGCTAAAAATAGGACCTTTACTACTGAAACGAAAGTTTAAAGGCCTTGCTGCTATTTTCTTTGTCTGATTTAGGTCAGAAGATTTCACTCTATCCTCCCTCACCAGAATTTCTATTTTTAAAAAATCTTGTATTAGCTTTTTGGATGCTACAACTTCTATTTTGAAAAATACAGAGGGAATAGAAAGGAACTTTCCTATTGTGGCATAACAAATTACCACAAATCTAGCAGTTCAAAACAATATCCATCTATTAGCTCACAATTCTGTAGATCAGAAGTCCAGACAGGGCTCCACTGGGTTCTCTGCTCCATCTCTCACAGGACTGAATCCAGGTGTTGGCTAGAACTGGGTTCTTAGCTGAGGCTAGAGGTCCTCTTCCAGGTTGTTGACAGCATTCAGGCCCTTGCAATTGTAAAACTCATGGCAACCTGTTGTCTTCAAGTTCAAGGCCAACAACAGGAGAGTGTCTCCTGTTGGGTCTCACCTCTTTTAAGGGCTCACTGGATAAGGTCAGGCCCACTCAGGATAACCTCCCTTTGGATTCACTCAGATTCAGCTCACTTAGGGACCTTAATTACATCTGCAAATTCCCTTCTGCCATATAACATAACATGATCACGGGAGTGATGCCCCATCATATTCACCAGTCCTGCCCACAGTCAAGGGGAGGGCATTTTACGGGGTGTGTCCACCAGGAGGCCGAAATCCTGGGCGCCATCTTGGAATTCTGCCTACCACAGAAATAACATGACTGAGTACCTACTGAAGTGCCAAACGGTGATTAATTCCCACCTCAGGGAATGGTATTAACCAAGTTTTACTGACAGGGAAACTAAAGCTCAGGGAAATGAAGCAGTTTGTGTAACTAGTAAATAGTATGGTCAGGATTCTAACCTAGCTCTGTCAGCCTCCAAAGCCCAGGCTCTTTCCATTTTTTCACATTATCTCTGATAAATCCTGTCACTTCTCCCTCCCTTTCAATTTATCTGCCTTTCTCCAACCCCACTGTCTTGGCTGTAGGCCTTCATCATCCCTCTCGGGCACTCCTGCAGCAGCCCCCCCCACCCCCATCGGGCTTCTTGCCTCCGCTGTTGCTCTGCTCCAGTCCATTCTCCATGGTCCTAACGTGCAACCTGACCATGTGACTTCCTGCTTAAAATACTTGCATCACTTCTTTCCAATGGAGTCCATACTCTTTAATACAGGTTACAAGGCATCCGTCTCTAAGCACTCCCTGCTTCTCTGAGATCATCTCCTACTTCTCTCTCTGATGAGTGTTACCATTCTAAGAGCCTAGAACACCCGTAACCGCTCTTCACCTGGCTAATTCCACCCAGCTTCCAATGTACGTTTAACGTCACTTCCTCCAGAGGCTTTCTTCGATTGCCTAATTTGTGAGGTGCTCCTAATACATGTTCCTGTAACACCCAGTAGTTTCCCTATAATATTGTCGCATTTTATTATGACATATTTATTTGTCTTTTCTGTTAGGTTATGTGTCTGGTTCTTGGCTGTATTCCCAATGTCTGGCACATAGTGGATGCTCAGTAAATATTTATTAAGAAATGAATGGCAGACTACTTTGGTGGGTTACTTCTTTTCTCTTTCCTTTGCAGTCTCCTTCTTTTTAGTCTCTGTTTTTCTTTCTTTGCCATTGAAATACTTTTAATATCACATGTCAGGGGACTTCCCTGGTGGTCCAGTGGCTAAGACTCCACATTCCCAATGCAGGGGGTCCGGGTTTGATCCCTGGTCAGGGATCTAGATCCCCACATGCCGCAGCTAAAGATCCTGCATGCCACCACTAAAAGATCCCGCATGCTGCAACGAAGATCCCGCACATGGCAGTGAAGATCCCGCGTGCTGCAACTAAGACCCGACACAGCCAAATAAGTAAATAAATAAATAACAAATTTTTTAAAAAAAATATCACATGTCAGAGAGCAATCCACTTCTCATGTGTTTTACTCAGGATCAGATAATTAGTATAAGGTGAAGCTAAAATGGTGAGAAAAAATGGTGGGCCTTTAAACTTTACATTTCATGTTTTCCACTATTTTATGCTGCTTGACTGCCTTAGAATAAGATCTGGGCTCCAAAAGCTCATCCTCTTAACTACTCACTGTACCCAGTACAGATACTCAATGAATGCCGGTATATTTTCTACATAATTGAATAAAGTCCTTTATAAGAGTTATGGGAGGAACCCCTTTCTTCACTGTGTGGATTTGGATCTAACATATTGGATAAGAGTTGTGATTAATTTTGTAAAGGTAGTTTCAATTTTATGTTATAGCTGTAGAATAGCCTTGTGGAATAGAGAGCATTGACTTTTCATAGTCTTATATCATGTTTGAGAAAACATTGTTAAAACTCCTTGCAAGTTTTATTTTATGGCCAAATGTCAGGCCTATGAATAAGCTGTTTTTAAAAGATTAGTCTAAAATTTTTGAAGCTAAATTTATAACAAACATGGCATAATTTTCGTAGCCAAAGAAGTGCTATCTCATTCAAAGCAGTTTACTTTGGAAGACGTTTCAGGGTTGTTTCCATTCTTCAAAAATGGTTTCAGAATTCCTTTTGGAATTAAAGTCTGAGACATCACACAGCTTTTTTACTGTCATAAGTTTTGGCTAGTCTTTGGCCTTTGAGGATAGTTGTTTTATGAAAACAACATTAAGAACTAAGGTGAGGGCTTCCCTGGTGATGCAGTGGTTAAGGATCCACCTGCCAGTTCAGGGGACACGGGTTCAAGCCCTGTTCCAAGAAGATCCCACATGCCGTGGAGCAGCTAAGCCCGTGCGCCACAACTACTGAGCCTGCGCGCGAGAGCCCGCGAGCCACAACTACTGAGCCCACGTGCCACAACTACTGAAGCCTGCACACCTTGAGCCCGTGCTCTGCAGCAAGAGAAGCCACCGCAGTGAGAAGCCCGTGCACCGCAATGAAGAGTAGCCCCCACTCACCACAACTAGAGAAAGCCCGTGCGCAGCAACGAAGACCCAATGCAGCCAAAAATAAATAAATAAAATTTTTTAAAAAAAGAACTAAGGTGAATAAAGTGTGTGATCAGGCTTCATTTAAAAACAAGATGCAACTCTGAAGTCACGAGACAGGACTGTGTTGTTTGTTGGTTTGTTTTGGTTGTAAAATCAGATTCTTGAGGCAAACAGAAGTTTCCAGTAGCTTTTAAAGCACCAACCAACCGTTCATGTCATTATAAGTACAGGACCAGAAAGGACTATCTTGGGAGGCGATGGAGGACTGATCATCATGTTTTGATACTTACAGATGAGGTTGTAAGGAAAGCCAGACTGAAGACATCTCAGTTTATTAGATAATGGTTACAAAGGGATAATCTTTTCTTTTGAAAAGTAATTTTTTCTGTTACAACATATTTTTTTTCTTTGGCCCATAATGCATAGCCCTGGAGATCAGGCTAGGCTATAGCCATTCTCGTGTTATAACTGGCATAGCTGCAGGACCCAGGGAAGTCACTATTTTTCTAAGTTTCCTTTCTCATCCTCAAAATGAGAGATTTGAACAGGTGCTGTCTAATGCACCTTTTCAGGTAGGAAAACTCTTTTCTCCTGAGTCTATGGATAATTGTAAAATGGGATGCATAGTAATATATAGTATCTTTTGTTTTATATATCCCTCATTGAACTGGTTTTAAAAGCTCATTTTGTTTTTGTTTCTCAAAAATCATGCATTGCTTTTGGAATTGTCATAAGTGAAGAATAAACATATTTCAGGTAGTACAAAGCAGTTTGTTGAAGTGAAAGAGGTTCATCTTACGTTAAGTACCAAAGAATTGTCTTCAGTTATTTGCTTCTCACCTTGGACCACAAGAATGTGAATAATAAAATAACGATAAACTACAAGTGACAGTCCAAGCAGGATCAGGAAAATTTTAAGATTAGAAATCAAAGCCAGAGGAACAATATGAACAAAATTTAGCTCTTGATTTTCTGGCCCCAAAGCAAAGGGAAATTATGTGGTTCTTATTTTCAAAGAAGATGAAAACTAGACACCCAAGGAGAGGTAAAGATTTTCTTAGCGCTTAATTCTAACCGAAATATGTAACATTTGTAGAAAGGATGAAGAGCGTTACAAATAATTATCAAGTAGCTGCAACAACCTGAAAAATCTAAAATTAGCATGTGGTTTTTACCTTCTAAAGTAAAACTGATACTCATCTCTGAGTCATAAGTAACATGGATTAAAAATTAATTATCGTGTTTAGGAAAGCTGGTTAGTAATTTAGCACTCTTGATGAAAAAGTGCAGGTATCTTTTTTGTTTTGTTCCCATAGATGCAAGGTTGCTCAACCTGTGTTCTAATTAAGTCTTACCCTGTTCTATTTTTATGTGGTACTAGCCAAAAAAGAAGAACATGTCGGCCTACCAGGTGTTCTGTAAGGAGTATCGTGTAACCATTGTGGCTGACCATCCAGGCATAGGTAAGAACATTTCTCATCTTTAGTGCTTTTACTTTCCATCTGTGTCCCTGAAGCAGTGCAGTTAATCCAGTCAGCAGGCAAACTTATTCCCATAGTATGAAAAGAACACAAATCTCATTTCTTTCCTCAGTTGTGCAAGTCACTGTAGATTTTGTCTTAGTTCACCCCGTCCATAAAGCACAGTACATAAATACGCAGTTGTTTCTTTCCAAGGTTCTACAGTTGACCTTTTCCTTAAACTGCCCTCAGTATAGAGTCGGAGTGAGATGACATATTACATTGTTCATATTTGTCTCTATATGGAAGTTAGTGAGGTGAGAAGCACACTACACCTCAGGCCTGAGACAAGTCACGTACCCTCTGCACATCTCATTTGTCCAATGTGTGAACTAGCTTCCCAACCTGCTCACCAGGGTTGTTGTGAGGCACACTGAAGCACCGTGAAAGACACAGATGTGCTTTATAAAGCACGACCTCGCTCTACATGTGGAAGCACAGCATTACACGTCTGGCAGATCGCTTCCGAGCTGCTCTAAGGAAATTCTTCTTTGTCTCTGAGCTCTCAGAAATTCGGTAAAACTCTAACATCTCTTAATCAGTCAAATTCTCCATAACATATTTTCTCTAACTTAAGTAGATAAGCCCTGTTCCATGGAATCAAATTAAAAGACACCAGAAAGATGCTTAAGGAATAAGTCCTTAGAGAGTAGACATGTGAGAATTTGAGCCTGTCTCACGGCCACCAAAACAGCCCCTTCCTTCCAGAAAAGAATCAAGGAAAGTGATGGGGTTTGGTTTGGTTTTCTGAAAGACTCTTGTGCTATTTAAATCTGATCTTCAAGACCCTTTTCCTAGTTTTTGCTCCTATCAGTCGTCTGTTTTGTTTATGGTTAAACCTTTACTGTTTTGGGTTGTTTCTGTTATTTTTTTTTTTTTACTCTTTTATGCTAGATTTTGGGGAACTGAGCAAAAAACTGGCTGAGGTGTGGAAGCAGTTGCCAGAGAAGGACAAACTGGTGAGCACAGTTTACTACGGACACATTTTTCATTGCTTTATGCCTTCCAAAATGTGTGATCCTCCGACACACCGTCCCAAACAACACTGAACACAGAAAAAAAAATTACAAATCGGTGGAAAATGGTTTAGCAGAGGGCAATAAAGTAGTTGGTGCCAGTTCACTCTACATGAGGATTTAGCTGCAGGGAGGCTGTCTTCTAACCTCATCTAATTTTTTCCCAACAACCTGACATTTGAGCCAAAAGATGACGTAACTTGGGCAATGAGTCGTGTTAAAAGAGAATCTAAAGTCAGAGGCCTTGACCACAAACACCTACTAGTCAGCTGTGGTCTGAGAACTGAGGAAAGTGGTCCACCTGATAGTCACAGCAAATAATAAAAACATGGGACAGTGTTTACTAGGTAAGTAGGTTCCAGGTCATCATCCTCATCAACCATTACGAAATAATAAACCTTCCTGTCACAAAGCTAATAAGACAATGATAAATAGTCATATTCGAATCACAGTCACTTTCCAATTAGATGATATGAAGGTAGTCTAGGCATTAGAATTACCATCTTGCTTTTTTAAGGTACAGCTTGTCTGGGTGAAAACAACATATATTTTTCACCCAGGTCAATTATCTTTAGTTTCTGTTTTCCATGTCATTGTTATCCTAGTATTGGTGTTTCCAACCGGCAGGTTAGAAGAAATATTTAAACCACATGGACATTAGGATGAGCCAGATGTTTCCTCTGTGATTTTACATTTCAACCTTAGAGTGATCGCAGAATCAATGCTGCAGTGTGACCATTAGCACTGGGGGGTATTCGTGGTCCTCTCCTAAGATACTACTGTCACCGCTATCTGAAGCCTGTTCACTGACCCTCCAGCTTAAAAGTTAACATTAACCCTCTGTCTGCTCCCCTCCACTGTTCCCTTTCTTTTATTCATTCTCCTCTTCCATGACTGCTTTCCCTTTTACTTTTTTGCCCTTTTAAATTTGTTTGCCCTGATCTGATTGCAGATTTGGAAACAAAAAGCTCAGTATCTGCAGCACAAACAGAACAAAGCAGAAGCTACAACTGTGAAAAGAAAAGCATCCAGCTCAGAAGGTTCCATGAAAGTGAAAGGTAGTGACCACACCCCTCTCCTCTTTTCATTCTTTTCCCTAGAGCACTGTGAATTTTGCTTCCTCACTAAGAAATGGGGAGAAGAGCCTATATTAGAAGCAGATCTTGATATCCAGATATTATTACTAAATATTAAGGGTTGCCAAAAAAATTTAGAAAATGTTGTGGGTTTTTTTGCGGTACATGGGCCTCTCACTGTTGTGGCCTCTCCCGCTGCGGAGCACAGGCTCCGGGCACGCAGGCTCAGCGGCCATGGCTCACGGGCCTAGCCGCTCCGCGGCATGCGAGATCTTCCCGGACCGGGGCACGAACCCGTGTACCCTGCATCGGCAGGCGGACTCTCAACCACTGCGCCACCAGGGAAGCCCTAGAAAATGTTAAGTCAGAAGTCAGCAAGCTTTCCTGTAAAGGGCCAGAGAGTAAATATTTTATTTTTTTATTATTATTTAATTTTTTTTTTATTTATTTATTCGGTTGCACTGGGTCTTAGTTGCAGCTCTTGGGCTCATTAGTTGCGGCATGCGAACTCTTAGTTGTGGCATGCATGTGGGATCTAGTTCCCTGACCAGGGATCGAACCTGAGCCCCCTGCATGAGCTTGGAGTCTTAACTGCTGTGCCACCAGGGAAGTCCCTGAGAGTAAATATTTTAAGTCTGAGGGCCATATGCATTCTCTGTCATGTATTCCTCTTTGTTTTTTCTACAACCATTTAAAAATCTAAAATCATTCTTAGCTCACAGGCCAATATAAAAACAAGTCATGAGCCAGATTTGGCCCACAGTCCATAATTTTGTTAATGCCTGGTAGAGCTCATAAAAAGGGAAAATCTGGAAGAATATTGGCAAGCTTTCTCTATTTTGTCTCTGTTCTCAGCTTCCTCTGCAGGAGTACTGTCACCCCAAAAGAAATCCCCACCCACTACCATGCTGTTACCCGCCTCGCCAGCCAAAGCCCCTGAGACAGAGCCCATCGACGTGGCTGCTCATCTCCAGCTGTTGGGAGAGTCCCTGAGCCTCATTGGACACCGCCTGCAGGAAACCGAGGTGAGGGCACTGCCAGCAGCATGACTCCAGTTGCTTATATAATTTGAATCCACTTACTCATTCCACATACATTCATTGAGCAACTGCTGTATGCTGGGTTATGCCAGGTGCTCAGGATACGGTGATAGAGAAGAGAGATGGTAATAGAAACATCTAGAGATTTGGAATCTACCTACTGGCTCTCAAAGTTTACACTAATACCGTCCTATTGAAACAATGGCACAAAAGGAAATTAGACTACCCTGTAACTTTTTTTTTCCCAGTTTTACAGAGATACAATTGACATATAATCCTGTAATTCATTTTTATTTTTTAAAAATGCAATGGGAAAAATGAGTACAAATCCCATGGAAGCTTTGATTGTTTTTATTTCTAAGAGAGTTTGGATTTTTCTATGCATTTCCAGCAAGGTTTTCAATAGACAGATTAGACTGTACAGGGGATTAAGTGTTCCTCTACTGCTTTGAAAGTAGGTAGCAACTGGGAGATTGAGGTTCCCAAGCTCTTCATTTCTCTGCACTTGAATCATACAGTCCTATGTACCCTAAGGAGATCTGTGTCCTTTTAAGCTTCAATTTCAAAATCACTTAACCTGCAAAGCTGTCATGTTCCATTTCTATTACCATATTCAATTTCTAATCATATTTCTTCCTGGCTAACTCAGTAAGTAGTGTAGTATTTCAGTTTTCCACTGGGTCCTAATAGGACATTTCAGCAAAGAAATCAGTCTGAATTACTAAAGCCATCTTTAAGCTGAGAAATCAGTGTAGGGATATAAAACTACTCACTTGCTTCTATGTGGAAGTTGAATTATTATTCAACAAATAAAATGCCGAAGGCCACAAGAGATGAAGCTTTGTCTAAGTTCTTTGGCTAGTTTCTCAAAATTTAGTAGGTGTCAAAACAGCTGCTTTCTTGTAGGCCCAGATATTTGAATGGATATAGATATTTCCAGAATAAAATATTCTGGGATCCTTATTTATTTTTCATATTTAGACATTCTTACATTTCCTAAAAAGTTAAAATTTTAAATGATTTGTGTTTTTCACCTTCCATATTCCAGATTTTCCCTGACGTTTCCATTGAGTTTAACAAATACTTGTTGAGTACTTAGGCATTATTCCAAAAACTGGGGGGAGTAGAAATTATGATGATTTCGTATCCTCAGGAAACTTACAATCTAATTGGAAAGATAGAATAGATAAATAATTAGCAAATAAAACAAGCCAGCTTCTGTGAGCGGTTGCTGTGGGAGAGTTACATATACATATTGACCAGAAAAGGGAAAGAATGTTGCAGAATCTCTAGTCCCCTTTTATTTTAACATAAGGAACAGTCTTATTATGATATAATTCACATACCATAAAGTTTACCCTTTTAAAATGTAGAATTTAGTGGCTTTTAGTATATTCACAGATTTGTGGCTCCATTACTACTGTCTATTCCAGATCATTTTCATTACCCCCGAAAGAGACCCCATATACATCAGCAGTAATTCCCCATTCCCCCTATACTCCACTTTTTCCCAGACTTTAATCATTTGTGTATATTTTCACAATTTTGCCATTTCCACATACCACTTTATACTGTTATTTACTTTGTATTTTTTTAATTTTATTGGGGTATAGTTGATTTACAATGTTGTGTTAGTTTCAGGTGCACAGCAAAGTGATTCAGTTATACATAAATGTATATTCATTCTTTTTTAGATTCTTTTCTCATATAGGTTATCCCAGAATATTAAGTAGAGTTCCCTGTGCTATACAGTAGGTCCTTGTTGGTTATCTGTCATATATAGTAGTGTGTGTATGTTCATCCCAAGCTCCTGATTTATTTATATTTTTATTTAAATAAATTTATCCATGCTTTCACAATGATGTCCTCGATATCACAAGTAAGATACTCTAATCTTTTTTCTAATATATCTCAAAATGGATTTATATCAAATAATTAATGTTCACCTCTACGCCACCTGAAATTAGTAAACGTACTACACTTTAAGGAACACTAATTTATACAGTTTGCTTATTTAAAGACTGAATACCTGAAACCTAATGAAATTAAGTGACTGTTATTACAAGTTTACACAACTCGCTGTGACCGAGCACAGCTTGCCCCACTTCTCAGCCTGCTCTCATTCTGCGGCTTTGTGCCACCTGAAGCAGTTACAGTAGCGCTCGAGAGCAGAGAGTTAGGGGGTCAGGAGAGGCTCTGTGAAGGGGATGTAGGGTTCCAGCGGGACCTGGAAGGATAAGCAGGACTTGGTATCACGGAGCTGTTGGAGAGAGACATCGTAAACCAAGAGAACATCTGCTTCTCGGCCCTGGAGTTTTCTGCAGAGATGGGCCAAAAGAGACCCATTGGGGCTCTAGACCCCCCATTCCCACTTCAACCAGATCTTTTAGCTGTTTTATATATTGGGGTTCCACTTAACATTTTATTTCCAAAGGGGTTTATTGCTAAAATGATGAAAAACTAGAAGATCCAATGCATAGGGTAGAGGAAGGCTGAATATTAAGGGCATAGTCCAAACTACAGAGGGAAATGACTGCTCAGGAACTACTGGAATTTTTTGAGTAGGGAGGAATGATCAGAGCTCTCATTTGGTTTTCACTGAGAATATCTTCTATTTTAGATTGGGAGTGAAAAGTGACCAGAATTAGGGAAAAGTTATAACAATAATCTAGACTAGACATGACAGAGATTTGAATTTAACAAATATTTATTGAGAGCTTACTCTGTGTAGAACCCCAGTATTTATTGGAAGGATATAAAAATGAGTATGACTTGGTTCCTACTCTCAGGTTGCTTATTGGGAGAGTCGAACATAAAATATTAGCTATCATTAACTGTAGGGCAAAAGTATGGAATAATATTCCTAATTGCTGTCTTCCGTTGAATGCTCACTCAGGCAGCTTTGGTTCAGAGTGCTGTACATGGATCCTTTCCTTTAATTCACACTGCAACTTTGTGAAACAAAATTTGTGTTCCCTTATTTTAGAAAAGGAAAAACAGACTTAGGTTAAGGAACTTTCTCTAGAGTTTAGCCCATAAGTGCTGAAACAGAGCCTTGAGTTTGGTGGCATGACCTCAGGGTCCATGCTTTTAACCCTTTGCTGCCTGCCTTGGAAGTGGGGGGAGACATTGGACAAGGAGAATGAAGGGAAAGAAAAGTCAACGGTGGCAAGGCCTTGAGACTGGGCAGATGTGTGAATGGTGGTGATTTTAGCAGAGGAAGGGATGCTAGGAGGAAGGGTAGGTTATTTCTCTTTACCGTATGTTGAGATTGAGAAATATCCAAGCAGGCAGCCAGAAAGGCAGTTTTGGAGATGAAGATGTTGGTAATAGCAGTAATCATTATTGATACTTTCTGAGCACTTCCCAGGTGCCAGGCACCACCCCAGGTACTTGATGTCTGTTGTCTCACTTAATCCACTCCGTGCTACAGATGCTGTCAGTACTGTGTTTTTCAGGCACAGCATAGAAAGCCGCTTGCCCCTCTCGGTGAGTGGGATATAGCCAGTTTCTCAACCCCGCATCTCAAGCCCAGAGCTCATTCTCTGAAGGATGCTTCTGTGCTGCCTTCCTAGGTGACATATCCTCACAGTACTTCTGGTTGAAGCAGATTATACAAGAGCTGGGCAGCATTATTTGTAGCAAGCAATCTTATTTGCTATGTCTTTGAATCACAGAGATATAAACAATATGCATTTTATAAGTTAAATTTTAAAAAGAACAGAAAAGTGGTATCATCCACTATCAAAAAAGCCACATATGTGGAGAAGTGTGTGTGTGTGTTTGTGTTAAATGTTAATGTGTAGAATTCTCATGGTTATCACATTTGAGCTATATTTGTGGAGTTCATAAGAAAAATACTTTTGCATACATGATCTCCACAAATCTTCCCAGCAGGTCTCCGGAATAGATGAGGCATTTTTTACGATTTTTCGGTATAGGTATTTTGGGGTTTTTTCCTACTGTTCCTAAGTGACTAACCTAAGGTCTCACAGAGGGTACAGTGGATTAGGGATATAGAAGGGAAACCTGGGAATGTATTCTTATCAAAGCGGAGACCTTCCATTTCTGCCACAATTTCATAGAACCACCCAGGACTTAAAGAACCATGCAAGGAACTCACCCAGAGCCTGGAGGGAGCCTCAGGAGTGTGAGTCAAGCTTCAGTCCTCTCCTGTCACGCTCTCCTTTTCAGGGCATGGTTGCTGTGTCCGGCAGTTTGTCAGTGCTTCTGGATTCCATCATCTGTGCGCTTGGCCCCTTGGCATGTCTGACCACACAACTACCTGAGTTGAATGGCTGTCCCAAACAGGTCTTGGTGAGTTTCCTTGTTTCCTGGGATTTTGGGGGCCAGACCCCTTGGGAGCCAGAGAGGCCCTGCCTTAATGAGCCCTGTGAAGCACAAGCCCATAAGGCTTCCTGGATACAGCGTTGCCATAGGCTGTCGCCCCATGAACATGACACTGAGTGTTGAATGCCTGCCAGGCTTTCAGTGAAACGGCAAACACGCCGTTTCCTAAGATTTCTCTCCTTTGGAGAGAAGCGTTGTAGCCCTTAAGGTACTGCACCTCCTGTGTTGCTTATTTGCTCTTCCAGAGACAAAGAAAGTACAGGAGTCTCCTGCCTCCATTTTACTAGGGTTAATGGGAGAAGCCAGCAGAAAAGCTCCCAGCATAGCAGACAACGGCGTGACATCTTGTCTCTCCCTGTTTTCTCTAACTCTAGATTTTCTTTCTCATCTCTCTCCCTTGAACAAAGAAATATGTCTCAGGGAACTAAGGTAAAATACTCGTCAGCTGAACCTTTTTCCTTTGTTTTGCAGTCAAACACACTAGACAACATTGCTTACATCATGCCTGGACTGTGACAGCAAAGACTCCTGGGACAGAAACCTTATCCTGCCTGTTGCTGGCTTGTGTATATGTGACTGTTCCAGATCCCTTCACTGGCATCTGGGTGTAGGTTTTAAATTTTTATATATATGCATATATATATATATATATATATATAATTTATAATATATATATAGGACTGTAACTACTTTGCTTTTAATAATTTTATGAAATGGCAAAGGTTTAGCCAAGAGGAAACCTTGGTATGAATATGGGCTTGGGATTCTTCTACTGTGGTGGATAAATCTGCCTTAAAAATCAGTGTAACTTGGGGGCTGGGGGCTTGTTCTGGATGCCAAGTGCATCGCTTTAAGGTCAGCTAAAATGTGATTTTTTTCCAAACTCAGTTGTACCTCCAGACCCATCACTGACCATTTGCCTTACCTGTCTTACAGTCTGAAATGTAATGGGAAAGATTATGGGAAGATGTCAGTTAACTGAAAGTACAAAGCTTTTCAACTTGAAGTGACCTAGGTGGGAAGTGATAACATCGTTCCCATCTGAAAGTTATTGCGATGGCTTAAGTGAACTTAGTAGGGGGTTCATTCCAATTCCTGCTCTACCAGTGTCCATGTCGCAAAACTTATTGTAGTCATTGGTACCATTGGCAGCCTCAGCCGGAGCCAAGGAGATTTGTGAGCCCTGGAGAGGGTAAAGCTGTCAGTGCCACCAGTTGAATGGCCTGTATTGTGAGCTGACCCAGAGCATTTGGTCTGCAGAACTAAGAGCTGGTATCTTCCATTGGCCACGTCAGCTTAGCTCACAGTTCTGCTGCTTAGCTGCTTGGTGGGTGTGGAAGGTGAGCTTTGCCCAGGCTGATTCCTGGGTTCATCTCATTGGCTCCCCTGCTGGGCAGATACACAGCGTTCTGCATTCCACACATAAGCAAATTGCGAAAAAAGTACTCTGTTCTCATGTAGGGTTATTTATGTGCGTGTGTGAATGTGTGTTTAATTATGTGTATTTAACTCTTAAAACTCTCTTAGATTTTAATTTATCCTGTAAATTTCTGTATATATAATTTAAAAACGAGCCTCCACCAGCAACAGCATGTGGAAGACGCAGATTTGTCATTTCTGCCTCCCCTCCTTCCTCTGGCCTCCTCTGCAAACTCCAGATCATCACACGTTCAGGTACCGTGCCTCGGAAAGGAGCCATTATGTTGGGGTTCTAGTTCTTTACAACTGAACAGTGTCAAGAAAGTAAATAAAAAGGAATGTTACCATTCCCAGCTGCCCTTATTTCCAAAGAACCAGGCTTTTGCTTCCCAGTTCCAAAGAAAACAGTTGAGCACTTCAGCGTTGTTTTTAAATTCGGTTTGAGAGTCCATGTCAAAACCAAGCTCTGAGGTGACTGCTTTCTTCCCTTGGCCTGGACAGAGCACTGCAGCATCAAAGTAGATCTTTGAGGACAGTGCCGCCAGCCTATTTAATTCTGCTGCATCCTATTTAATTCTTTCCTTTTTTCCCACCAGTGTGGTCACAGGGCTGTGTTTCTTAAAGGTATTCTGGCTGCTTAATGCCTTTCTCACCTCAGAGCAGTTTTGAAATTTAACTGGGAAACAGAAGGAAACAGGAATTCTTGGGAACCAAAATCACGAAGAGCAGAAATCCTGGTTTAATTTTGTGTGTTAGCACCTATCCCACGCCTCCTCTGTACCCATGTCAGTTTTCTGTTTGACACAGGGTATCAAGGAAGGGCCTCGGAGACGTGGACTAGTACGGAAAGAAGTCAGTCCTACCATTGTCATTTGTACACATTAATGAAGTCCTGACGAGGACCTGCTTTTTGTTTGTTTGTTTTCCTTTAAAATCCAAACCTATTGTATTTGTATTTAAAATTTGTACACATTTGTATAATAATCTGTTCCTTGTGGTATTTGGTACTATTAGAGGAAAAACTTTGGATTCAGACCTTCTTGCAATTTTTATATCATTGTTTTGTTTTTTAAATAAATTCTAGCTGTTTGATCCAAATCCCATTACAGTTGTATAAAGAAATAAAATTTTGTACTTATATTATTAAAAATCACATTTTTAATATTTGTAGTCCAGTGTCAGCTATCTTTTCCCTGTTGCTAATGAAAGTTGCTATGAAATTTTAAACCTGTCTTTCACACTATATCCTACCATAATTTTCTTTAAAAAATAATCCGTTTGGAATAGAGGTCAAGTTTCTGATCATAGCCATCTTCCTAACAAACATCTTGCTCTGTTTCTAGTAACTTTTACATTGCGGACTCTCATCTTCTCTCTTGCAAACTGCAAAGCCAGTGGCTCTGATAAGCGTAGCTCTATTCATTGGCAAATGAAATTGTCTGTACATTACATTGTTGGCCTAACTCAAGAAATACCTATGAGTCTTGTATAAGAATCACATCCAAATCTTGTGCTAAACCATGTGTTTCAGTACTGTCCTTACTGAGTGATGTTGGACTGGATAGGTCACTTAATCTTTATGGGCATCTGCAGTCTGATCTGTAAAATAGTGTTAATGTCACTTCCCTGTCTACAAGCCTTGAAGCCAGCCAGCCTGACGTGAAGTTTAGTAGTATTGTGAACATTCAATATATGAGATCAGACCTTTCAAAGTAAAAATTTCAATTCAAACACAAGGTTGTTAACAGTCATAAATAGCAAAATACTATGATTGGCTGAAAGCCTCACTTCTTATGGAGAGGCAGCAAAAAAGAGACAGCTATATTACTGAACGACTAGAGTGATTGGCATATTTCATCACACTTAATCCTCCCCAAGGCCTTATGAATATTATCCCCCTTTACAAATGAGGAGACAGATGCAGGAAAGTACTTTTCCTGAGTTTATACAGCTACATAAATGGCAAAGCCAGAATAAACACACTGGTACAGTTGACCCCAAAGCTGAGGCTCTCTTCAACCCCAGGCCACTTTCAAAGTTAAATTGTGTATGTAATTCATCAGAATCCTTCCCCATTATATGCAGTCCTGAGCAAATGTGATTGTGGGAAAACTGTCAGACCTTTTCATTGTTCAAATGTCCTTTTGTCCTAGCTGGATTTTACTATACAGACCTCACTTTTCTTGTCATCCTGTTGTCTTTAAGCTTTGGAGGCAAAGTATCTTGATTTTTTTGTCTAAAAGTACTTAAACGATATAATTATGTTACATTTATGCAATATGTCAATTTTAAAGGACTTAAACATTTTTATCCTTAGGAAGGCATTAGATTTTTTTTCTTCTTTTTATTTTTAACATCTTTATTGGAGTATAATTGCTTTACAATGGTGCGTTAGTTTCTGCTTTATAACAAAGGGAATCAGCTATACATATACATATATCCCCATATCTCCTCCCTCTTGCGTCTGGCATTTTGATATTGATATTGCTAAAACACTTAAAAGGAAAAATTAAATTAAAACAGACTTTTTACTAAATGAGTTTGTTCCTGTTAGGAAACACTTTGAACACATAGTTTTAATTAGTTCTGTACTACATTTAATGTTTGCAATTTACATTCCTATCTATTGTATTGACAAAATCCACACACTTCCATTTCTAATATAATAGCTAAGTAGCTTTCTGTTTACATAGAGCTATGATTTCACTCCCTGTTGGGGGGTATATGGTTTCTTACCATGAAGGATAAAACTTATGGCTGTTTTATTCTTGGCAGAAAGCCAAGATCTGCCCATAATCACTTTAATCTCTGCCTTTTTGCGGTATGTGGGCCTCTCACTGTTGTGGCCTCTCCCGTTGCGGAGCACAGGCTCCGGACGCGCAGGCTCAGCAGCCATGGCTCACGGGCCCAGCCGCTCCGCGGCATGTGGGATCCTCCCGGACCCCCGTGTCCCCTGCATCGGCAGGCGGACTCTCAACCACTGCGCCACCAGGGAAGCCCTGCCCATAATCACTTTAAACCAGAGTGGTGCAAGAAGGCAAGAACTTCTGGTTAAATCACCACCCAACATGGGGATGTTAAAGGTTGTTAATGGAAGAATCCAATGGAAAATCATGCTAAATATATTCCATACAACCAAGCAATATGTTTAAATGAAGAAAAACATGGAAGGTACCTGACATGAAGATCATCTTAAGTGTACATCTCCCCTTATAGTCCAAATCCATTACAGAAAGGTAGATTGATTTAGATTTTCATGCGTTAGTCACTGTGCTGCACAACAGTGAGAGAAATGGACATAGCATCCCAGCCCTCAAAGAGCATCTAGACTACTGGGGGTATGGGCATGTATTAACAGGTCTCATGAGCATTATTAAAACACTTCAAAGCACAGAAGTACATGACGTCCATAAAGCTTTTATGTTGTACGGTAAAGATGTCAGCCCCTATGACTGCTCAGATTAACGGAGGTGATTAAGTTCTAATTCAGGTTTTCTATCGTCCTAAATTTCTGCAATTTACTAGCCTTTCAAATTTAAAATTCACAGATATGCCCAAAAAATACTGAAGCATCCTGCAGTAACCCAAACTACCAAAGCAGTGGTTATTGTATCTTTTGGAGTGCATGTCATTAGAAGCAAAAAAAAATAACCAATAGATCTAATATTGGTATCTAATGAGTAGATGACATAGCTGAAACACAGCACACGAGAAGGTTGAAGATATTAGAATTACAAAGCTGCGAAGAGCCTTTGAGATTCTTAATTCTTAGCTTGGGGTCCACTGCACCTCAGGGACCCCAGAAACTCCCTGAGGTCAAATTGTATCTCTGCCTTCTTTCTTCAGAAAGGCTCCGCTGCTTTTTACACTTTCTCAAAGGAGCCAGTGACCTAAAAAAGAAAGGTCCTTGACCTAATTCCAGAATCCAGAGAAAATGGAAGCCCGCTGTTTGAATCACACAGTAAATGAATGGCTGAGATGGGTCCCAGGACCCACTCGTGACATCTGTGTGCTTTCTGCCACCCTGGGCTCTAGCCCGTCCCTAGCTGCAATTCACTGAGTTGGCTCTCAGTGTCAAGGTATCGCAAAACCCTTGGCTCTTCCGTCCTATTTTGAGGTAACGGAATCTGGGCTGCAAAGAGGATACATTTTGCAGCTGGGAGACCTCGATCTCAAATAGGAAGAGTCTTCTCTGGGCAGGGAGACAACAGGCCAGAGAGGCTGTCAAACCCAGCAGTGGGTGTGTAGTCATAGTGAGGTCCTAGCGGCTAAAACTAAGAGCGAGAGCTGGAGTCTCAGCTTGCTGGGTAACCTTACCCAAGTCATTTCCCTGGTCTGAGACTGGGTTTTCTGGGTATGTAGAGATCAAAGACAACGCCCCTAATCCTTAAAAAGACGTGAAGGATGTGGCTTAGACCCAAGCGCCCCAGGCCCGCAGCCGCCCGACGTCGTGCGTGACGTCCACCGACGCCGAGTAAACCGCAGTGAGGTCATCGCCCTCCGCCTCGAGGCGCCGACCCTCCACGTCAGGGGCGGGGCCTGCGGCCGGCTCCAGACTCCCTCCGCCCCGCCCCAGCCGCGCCTCCTCGAGGACCGTCCGGCGCGTCACGTGACGGGTCCGGCGCTGGCGGTTGCTGTCAGCTGATTCCCCGGCTTGGTGGCAGTGGCAGCGGCAGCGGCAGCCGTGGCGATGGACTTTCTCCTGGGGAACCCGTTCAGCTCTCCGGTGGGACAGCGCATCGGTAAGTCCCCGGGGCCCGGCCCAGCCCCAGCGCAGGGTTCCGCGCCCGGCACCGGCCCCCAGGCGCGCCTCCAGGTCCCCAGTTACACACCTGAGGGAGGCAGGGAGAGGAACGAGGCTGGAGTGTCTCTGCCTGACCTGGCCCCGCCCAGCCGCCCGCCTGCTTTGATTGATAAAAGCCGAGGTCCACTAAGAAGCCTCGGCTTGTGATGGATACCGACAGCAACCAATAGGTAAAGAGAGAAGGCGGGTCCTGGCGGCCGCGACTCAGCCAATGTGCGACTGCTAGGGTCGCTAATCAAGGGAGAAAGTTTGGGGGGTTAAAGGGACTGCGTGGTTTTGCAGTCCATGCGCCCCTCGAATGTTTCTCTCGTCGCCTCCCCGGCGCACGTCGCGCCGCCTGGGCCCTTGCCGTCTCATTCCTGGCTCACTCGGCGCTGCGGACACGGATACCTGAGAAGGGCTGGAAGTCCATTCTCCAGGACCAGGAGACAAGGGCTTGGCGGCTGGGTGGGCGTCTTGCTGGGAGGGGGACAGGGAGCCCTGCCTCCCCCGGGCCGGGGCTAGACGCTGAGGAACCCGCTCCATGAGGAAGCCAGGCCAAAGCTTCAGGACGTGCCGGCCTTGGCCGCCCTCACCAACCGGCATCAGATGGACGGCATGGAGTCGCAGACTCTGAGCTGGAAGTGATCTTAGAAACCACCTGAGTCGGTCTCCCTCATTTCTCAGTAGAGGGGACGGCCAAGCCCTGTGGCAGAGACACAGGCTCACTCAGAGCCCAGATCTCCTGAATCTCTCGCCCCCTGTTGACGGGAGACTTAATAGTTCTGTGACGTTGCCTCTGTAGGGAGGATTCCTCACCTGTGATTAGGGGATAACAATGATCCCTACCTCCGTGAGGTTGTTGTGTAGGTTAAACTCGTTAATAAATGTAAAGGACGTAGCGCCTGGCACGTGGCCGATGCTATATAAAAGAAAGTGGTAATATTTATTATTGTTACTGAGACGCTGCTAAGTGAGGGTCTGGAATTCCTGAAAATGGCTGGACAGTTGGTCTCATAGGCACTCATTTCTGCCCACCAACGCAGAGAGGACCCACAGGCCGTGGCCCAAACCGCTAACACTTCTCCAGGGCAGTCGGGGTGTGCCTCCTTGCATGAAGAAGCCCAGGGCAGTACTGTGAAACTCTCTCCAACTTTTTGACGGTTTTTAGCCTTAAGTTCAAACTGGGAAAATTGGATCTTTTAGACAAGATATTCTTTCCATTCTTACTATCTTGGAAGCCAAACCTCGCTTAAGTCTGTTGACCCAGCTCTGTTGAAATCGCCCCCGTGGCCGTTTGTGGCTCTTCTGAGGTTTTGTAATGAAATGTCTTCAAGAGGAGGCTGTCAGTAGAGAATTTACACACCAGGAAG